TTGGGGCGTGCCAAGGGCACTGCGGTGCCCGTGCCTGGGCGACGCTGGTAACAGCTGAGCCCTCCCCTACCCCAAGCTGAGCTTCAGCCTGGGGCCAAGGGAACCCTGAAAACTGGAAGGGAAGGAAGAGTTGCATACACCGGACACACAGCAGCTCCATAAAGTAAAATACAACAAAATGTTTAATGAGCAAATTCGTCTTAGCAAATATGAAACTGCCACAGAGAGTAGGAGAGGGACAGGGTCCATGGGGCTGGGGGGCAGGTCCAGGGAGACTAAAGAGAGAATCAACTATGTAAGAAACCAGGGAGGACACCGGGGAGAGGACCAGAGGCCAAGAGGACGGGAGCTGTGGTCCTGAAAGGGGAGAGGGCAGGGAACCAGGGGCCGGACAACAAAATTCAAAAGTTTGGCCATAAAATATAAACACGCTATGTTTCTACAGTGGGGAAGGGGAAGAGAAAGGGGGTATAAGGGAAGAGAGACTGTTTTGGGAAGGGGCCATGGGGGTCGGACCCCACCCTGCTGTGCACCCCTCCCAACCCCTTCCCTCTGTGTCTGTGGGTGCATGTGTCTGTGTGGGCCTGTGTGCGCACTTCCCTAGCCCCCTCCCAGCCCCGAACCCCCAGCCCACCCCCCACCCTTAATTGCTGCCATTCCAGTTGCTGCCGGTTGTCATTCGGCTGTCACTCCTCTGCCCATCGTCTTCAGAGGGGGAAAAAGAGGGGGAGCAGGCAGGGGAGAAGTCCCCAACCAGCCCTGCCCCTGCCCTCCCCTGCCGCCTCTACCAGAAGTCCCGGCGGTGGTAAGAGTCGGGGTCACAGTATTTTGTGACAACCACTCTGTTGGCGAACTTGCGACCTGTCAGGCCCTGCATGGCTTTCTGGCAGTCAAACACAGAGGTGAACTCCACGAAGATCTGTGGGAACAAGAGGCAGGTTGTGAAGACAGAGCAGCCTCTCAGCCTCCAAGGATGAGCTGGCTCACTCCCGGCAACCAGCCAGCATCTAACCAAACCCACAACTCCAAAAGAGTGAGATGGAGGGAAAGAAGACCTCGCTGCAGGTTTGGGGACATCTACCCAAACATCCTCCAGCATCCCAAGATCAAAGAACTAGAGAACAGAGCAGAGGCATGGAGTGACGGCAGAGGCAAGCTGGAGTCAAGAGCCCCACCAAACAGGGGCAAGCTCCAGGAGATGGGTCACTTGTGTGAATTGTCTCCGCAGCACCAAGCACCCGAAGGGCCATGTTTTCCCCAATGGATGAAGTAAGGAAAGCTCATAATTAGTATTCAAACCCAGTCTGACTCTAAAGCAAAAACCTGGACCTTGATCTACTCAAGCTTCTCATCCTGTGTGAACCATCAGTTTACAGAAGTAGAGGAAGGGGTGGATACAACCAGCCTAATTCAGAACAAGGCCAACTCTATAAAATAAATGCCTCTACAGCTTTCAACAAGCAACACAGCTTTCAAAAAATAAAAAAGGGAGAGGAGGTGACACAGAACTGATAAATTACAATAAAGTTAGAAACCAAATTGTACAGTTCCTTATTTTGATCAAACCAACTGTAAAAAGACATTTATGAGACAGTAAGGGAAATATGAACACAGCGTGGGTAGGTAGATACTAAGGGTAATTTTGTTAATGTACTAACAGTATTGTGTGGTTTCATTAAAAATGTTTAAAAGTCCTGTTTATAGCAGTTCTCAACCAAGGTGACCACGTCCCCAGGGGACACTTGGCAATGTCTGGAGGCGTTTTTCACCAGCACAAAGGCATGTATAACACTACGGGCGTCTAGAGCATGGAGGCTGGCGACAGGGCTAAACAGGCTACAGCACACAGCACAGACCCCAAGGCAAGAACTACCAGGCCCAAAATAGCGGTAGCTGAGACAGAGAAACGTTCTTAAATATCTCAGGTGAAATATGAGATATATTTCGTTTCAGCCAACGAAGGGGGAACTGGGAGCTGAATACAGAAATTAAGAATGACAAGATTTTGGTAACTTGAAGCTGGGCGACAGTGCACCATGATACTGATATATGTACTATAACAAGATTTAAGTAACACATTACTCTACCACTATGACATTTTCTTTCTTCTCTTACGTATGTTTGAAAAGAATGATAATGAAGTTTAAAAGCTGATCCCAGAGACCAGGCGGGGTCTTTCTATTCTTACTTCCCACAAATACTCAGCCCCCAGGCACACCAGGCTCCCCCAGTCTAGCGGATACCGAGACGTCGGGACCGAGTCTGGACTGGGCAGGACCCCCCACCCTCCTCCTCCAGCCCTGTCCTGCCCCTCTGCCCCCACCAGCAATGCTTTTCCACAGCTTCCTGGGCAAGTTCATCCGGCCTGACACCAGAATGGGGACCAGTGTGTCTACCAGACTTCACACCTGGAAAGCAGTGCCCCACAACATCTCTGCTGGGGTATCTCAGTACCTCAAAGCCAGCCCCCCAACCCTGACCATCACCCCTTTCCCAGCCCTCCCATCTGGCTTCTCCCCTACCATTTCTGCCCAACCAGAGGTCTGACCTGCTCACTGGACTCCCCCCGACTCCCGGCACCCCCAAATCAGCCACCAGGGTCCAGGCGTTTACAGGCCACTGACTCTTCTCCGTCTTCCTGCCGCTGCTCTCAACCAGAAAGCTTCCACCCGGATGATCACAAGCAATTAGTTCCCAAAGTTCCAGAGAGACCGATCACACCACTGCCACCTCTCTGCCCCTCCAAACTCTCAGCCAGGTAGGTCCCATCCCCACCGTATTACAAGGGGGCCACCTCTATATGCCAGGCATTCCTCCAGTTAAGACCTTGTGAACACTCCCCTCCCCTTCCACTCAGAACACTCGACATTCTTACTAGGATGTAAGTATGGCCCACTTGGCCCTCCAAAGTCTGCTACGCCCACCCCCACTGCTCTCTGCTTCACTCCCCTCTGGCTGCACTGCCTCCTCGATGTCCCCAAGCACATAGGCCAGCTGCCTGCCACCCAGGACCCTGCCAGCCTGCTGCAGTAACTGGGTGTCACTACAGCCTGCTACGTAAAAACTACGTAAAAACAGCCCCCAGGGCGATCCCACTCCCTTCCCAGCTACTATCGAGGGCAGCCTGTGTGGGCTTCCTAGGTGAGCAGCTAAGGGACACAAGTCACGAATGCTCCCAGGCTCCGGAGGGCTGGCGTGAGGGGCTGACACCTGGCCCGTGGCAGAGGCGACGTGACTCAGTGGGCTCAGAACCAGACCCCAGGAATCAAAAACCTAGACTGTGAGGCCCGTGTCCTCGGAGGAAGGCCTGGGGAGGGGCGGGGACAGCTCAGGGTTAGCACAGGTGAGCTCAGCAGAGTACCTGGCACCAGAAGACACAAGGGTTGGCTGCTGCAGAGACTCTTTCCAGCACTTTTCTCCCCACTGCACAGACAAGACCGAACCCCTACAAAATTTCCTAACAGAGCTAGTCATGAAGCAGAGGGGCTCCGACACAGAGGCCAGTCCTCGGCCGCGCACCGAGGCAGTCCTGCCACAGGCCCTGCACCCCGGAGGCTCGCGTGCTCTGGGTCGGGGGAGTGAGGGCACCCTGTGGGGCAAGGATGCGCACGCACCTTTCCGCAGCCAGGCACCTCCACGCCGTCCACAGGCCGGGGGATCTCGATGGACTTGACTAGCCCATACTTGCTGCACTCGTCCCGCACGTCCTCCACGATCTCCTCATATTCCTCGTCGTCCAGCAGCTCCTCGGGCAGCACCATGTTCATGAGGCACAGGACCTCGGTCGGGTGGCCGCCCATCTGCACCTGGGAGCTCATCAGGCCGGGCACTTGCAGGGTCACAGGGGTCTGGTTGATGGTGCTCTGTGGGGCGGCAGAGGCACGGGCGTCACGGGGCAACCTGGCCCTCGCCCCCTCCAAGACCGCCTCCCCGCGGCCCCCCCGGCCTCCCTCAGATGCTGTTCTGGGGAAAGACCATGCCCTTCCCTAAAGGAAAGCCAGGGCAGAGCTTAGGAGGACCCGCCTGGCCCCGCCCGGCCCCTTCCCACCCCCAGGTGTCCCCCGAGCCAATGGAAGATGACGTGCCGGGGGGCTCACCAGCGTGGCATTCTTGGCTCCCACACTGGCCCTCTGGACAAGCAGTTTCTTATCCCCCAGCTGCATCCCGTTCAGCCCTGCGATGGCCTGCATTTGGAGGACGAGGGGTGGGGGCGCAGGGGAGAGGTGCAGGTCAGAGACCAGAGCCTGACACCTCCCCAAAGCCCCAATACCCAGAGCTGGGCATCAGTGGGGGAGAGGGGAAGGCGAAGGGGTGAGGGCTTGGAAAGAGCCAGAATGGAGGGAAGGGGCCCCCAGGTCCTGCTTCAGGCTGGCCTCCTCCCGCCCACCTCGAAGAGGGAAGACCTCAGCGTGGATACACTGCAGGTAGGGGTGAGGGCAGATACACCAGTGCAGGGGCCGGGGGCTCACCTGATCCGTGACGTTGATGTCCACGTACTCACAGAAGGCGTACCCCTTGGAGAGCCCCGTGGCGCTGTCCTTGACCAGGTTGAAGGCCTTGAGAGGCCCGAACGACGTCAGCAGCTCTTTCACCTGCGGCAGGCCCAGACTCCGTCAGCGTGTGCGCGCGTGTGTGTCTGTGTGTGCGTGGGAGTGAGCAAGGGCCGGGTGGGGCAGGAGGAGGCAGGGTCTACCTGGTCATCATTCAGGTAGTTGGGCAAGCCTCCGATGAACAGCTTGTGGGCAGAGTCTGGGACCACGGTGGACACGACTCCTGAAGAGAGAAGCGAGTAGATGGACTTCAATTCCCAGCACAAGGTCATTACCCACACACAGGGAAGTCTCCAGGGAGAGGCCCGTCACGCCTGAGTGGCAAAAACAGGCCTGCACTCCCCCTGGCAGCTGCGACTCTCAGACCTGCCCAGTCTCCAAGGCTCACACCAGCAGCACTCCTTGGGATGCGCTGTGACAAACCAGCATGACACAGCAGCACACTGGGGGCCCTGGGGTCAGAGACACGAGCTCACACCCCAAACCTGCCACCTGCTGCTGTGTGACCCAGGCAGGTCCCCTTGGTTCTCAAACTACTGGCGAGAGGTCACGATGACACTCACAGTTCATCCTTCATCCTTCAAACCTCAATGCAGAGCCCGTTCCCATCACCCTCTGCTTGCATCGGGCCTCCCCATTATGCCCCTCCATCCTTTCCCCTGCGGTCCTGCACTTAGCACAGCTAAACTAGCCCTGAGTCATTCTCTGCCCTTGGTCGTGTGTGCCTTCGAAGGGCCATGCCGTTCCGCACCTATGAGGGCTGGGACATGCCGGATTCACTCAGCACCCTGGCCCCCACAAGTGGGGTCACATCAGCTCAGCAGTTTAATGACTACCGCACATCCACCCCCATCCCCGCCCTCGGAGACCAGCGCCTGCCACGTCTCAGCCCAGTTCTCTGCAGGCTTCGAGATCCGTCATTCAATTCCTGGAGCCTCCCCATCGGGAGTGCGCTTTGAAGAGCTCCAGCGTGCCATCTGAACACGAGAGGGTGGAAACTCGACCCACCACCCATCCAGTCTGACCTGCTCCTGACTTCTGAGTTCAGCAGCACAGCCTTTCCTTCCTTGGCAACACAGCACCAGGTGGCCCCTTCCACCTCCTCCTGACCCTGGGACAGCACAGGTGAGGGACAAGGCGAAGGGAAGACCCCCAGACATAGCCACTGTGCCGGTGGAGAAGTGCTCGCTCTCCCACTGCCACCCCACCCACTCCAGCCCGTACAGCCCTGCAGAAGTGCTGGCACCCACCCAGCCACTCTGACCGCCAGGACCCATCAGGGTGGGACCGTGGGGTGTGCAGAAGACTGAGACCCGGCTCATCCAAGGAGGGAGGAGCAGCAGCATTCTGGGAACAAGGGCCACAGACCCTGAAGGCCACCTTGGACACCAAGAGACCAAGATATCTTTCTTTCCCTGCAGGGTCACCTCACACACTGCTGTGCCCCGGCCCCTACGAGCCTGCTGAGCACGTTGGGAAGGCCCCACAGGTAGAAGCCACTGGAGGCAGAGTGGGAGCATTCCTGAACCAAGGGGTGAGCCTGGAACAAGGTAGGCAGGCGCTCAGCATTATGCTGGACACACAAATTCAAAGATGACTGCACCTTCTGGCCTCCAAAGACAGGCTTTCCCTGCTCCCAATTTCCATCTTGTCTCGGAAGGAACGACCAGCAGCCCACATCAGCGCTGGACGGCGGGGCCTGACGGCGGGGAGTGTACTCAAGGTCTCCCCGTGCCCAATGAGGCGCTTTCCCAGCTCTGCATCCGCACTCTCACCAAGGTGAGGAAGCTACCTGCCACCCTGCCCAACTGCTTCTTCTCCAACCAGTAATATCTGCTGAATTTTACCATGTTTTTCCCCTTTAATTGTAAAACTGATTTTTTCTTTTAGAGTAGGACAACAGAAGATCAAAACATTAGCTTTATTACTGAAAAAGAGAAAGTTAAACCAGAGACGTTTAATTTGCAGGCAGAATCAGGCTTCCTGCCACCCCCTACGCCCAAGGGGAGAATGGACTTGCCTGGCTACCGGCGCGGGACCCCCAGGCCTCTCTGGACAGGCAAATCCCAGAGAGAAGATCAGCGAATGATCTTTCTATTGCTTCACCAGTGACAGAGCCTGTGATCGAGGACTGGCCCTGTACCTGCGATACCTCCATGTCCATGGGGGAAGGGGACACGTGGGAGACAGTGAGGGAGGCAGGGAGGCCGAGTCTGGAGTCCAGCTACCTCGCCCGGGATCCCACTGATCTCGCCCGAGCTTCGCTGTCCCCTCTGCACACACCACAGCAGGAAAAGGCCAGGTGGCAAGTATTTTCAGTCAGTGGGCCACATGGTCTCTGTCACTACTGGGCCACTGTGGCACAAAAGCAGCCTCAACCATGCACAAGTGGGAGTGGCTCCGTGCCAATAAGTCTTTATTTAAAAAGCAGGCAGCAGCCACACCTGCCCAACACTATACTAAGAGACATTCACAAAGACCAACACGTGATTCACAGGGCACACTTCCATACAGCACAGGCAAGAGATAGGCTCCCTGAATAAATAAGAGTGGGTTAACACACTGAATTTACTGGGAAGAGGCACAAACGAATGTCCTGAAGCTTGATTTGGGAGATGGTCCCAGACATATGCACACATGAATTGCCAGAGACACCTCCTTTTCTTTACAACTTAAAGAGAAGTGCTGAATTTACCCAAACTGTTGTGGTGGAAAGCACTGGAGAAGAGCCAGGGACCCAGCCCTGGGTCTTAGCCCCACCTTCTCTGGGACCCCGTGTCCCTGTGTGACAGTGAAGAGCTGACTCAGCTTCTAAAAGGTGTCCTTCAGTGGGAAGCCTCAGCCAGTGGGCCCCACGTTCTCAAACTCCAAGGGCCTGGCCAGTTCCCCTCATAGCCAGAGCACACCAGTGCTCACCCTTCCTTGGCCAGAACAAACCCAGGGGCTCGAGACCTGAGCCCCCAGCTCAGCTACAGCAGCACTGGATCCTCCAGCTCTGGCGCTCCCCACCCCCCACAGGCCCCAAGCCTCACTGACACCCCACCAGCCAGCCGCAGAGGTCAGGAAACAGCCTGCGGTTCAAGCTGCACTTCCCATTCCTGTGCGGCCTGCAAGCTTTCTGGAAGGTCACTCTGCTGCACGTGCACGGCACACCAGCATCCACAAAGGCAGCATGGAGGACGCAGCCACACCCGTTCACTCAGGCGTGGGCTGGGCTGCTCTCCTGTTACAGCTGCAGAACAGTTTCAACAGACCAATGGCCTGCGAGGCTTACTCTCTGCCCTTGACAGAAAACGCTTTGCAACCCCCAGGCCTGCTGTTGCCTATCAGTCCGGGACAGCACCCAACACAGCTGCAGGCAGCGGCCAGAGGACAGGAGTCCCTGGAAGCACCAAGACGAGAGGTCACCCAGGGGTCAGACCCCACACCAGGAGCTCCCCTGACAAAACTGCCGGCCTGCACTGATGCGCACATGCTGCGCCCCTCACACTGACCCCGAGGTCCAGCGGGGTCTTCATGTCCCACGGCACCTCTGCTCTGGTCCCGGCTGCCACGTACAAGACGTGTGTCCTCAAGCAGTTCACAGTTCACCCTCTCCGGGCCACGCTACCAAATGGGGAGACATTCAGCTCGCAATAGTCTGGAGGGTGGGACGAGAAAACACGCCCCTTCTGCCACGCTCATGCCGCTCCCCCACTCACCAGGCACGTAGACAGAGGGGTTCTCCGACATGCCAGGCAGGGGCTGGTAGTCGTGGGGCCGGCGGATCTTCAGCGACTGGCCCTGGAAGATGATGCCATCGAAGGCCATAGCCTGGGTTGTCTCATCCACTGAGCGGAACTGAAGAAAAGAAAAGGGGGTGGTGAGCGGCAGGGTGAGTGATGTCCAACCACCCAACCCTGAGGCCTCTGGGACAGTGACCGGTGGAGTACAGACTGTGGGAGGGCCGAGTGGGACCAAGGGCTGTGGCAGAGGGGCTGGGGCCGGGAGCAGCACACACCTCCCTGACCCCCACCACATGCCCAGCTCACCTCCAAGAAGGCAAAGTTCTTGTCCTGGTTAATCTGCACAGCCAAGACGGGGTTGCCGGGGGCCTGGGTCAGCCCCCCCAGGCGCATCTGGGCGTTGAAGAAGTCCATCATGGCCTCCTGCAGAGGGAAGAGGAGACAGGGGGGGGGCGGGGGAAGGGGAGGTGGAGAGAGGAGGGGGAGGGTGAGAGAGGGAGACACAGAGGGGTGGGGAGTAAGGGGAGAGGGGTGGGGAGGGGGGAGGGACAGTGGAATATGGGTGGGGCATAGAGATCCACAGCAGGAACAGAAGCAGGAGAAAGAGCAGAGAAGATGGGGCAGCAGCAGAGGGAGACAGCCAGAGGCCAGGAGGCAGGCCGGGGGTGTGGGGAGAGCCACGGGGCCCCAGGCAGGAGGGGAGGAGAAAGTGTTCAAGAGAGATGCAGGGAAACCACGACAGGGACAGGAGAGAAACACACAGCAGAGAGAACAAGGGCAGAACACGTACAGAAAAGACAGCCCACAGTGACAATAAGAGAAAAGAGCAGAAAAGAAGAAGAGCAGCAGACAGGAGAGAGAGCCCGAGTCAGAGAAAGAGAGGGGCAGGGGGGCAGAGGGGCAGGGCGGAGGGGGGGCGCAGGGTGGAGGGAGGGAGGGGGCGGGTGGGAGGGGAGGAGAAAAGAGTGATGTGGAGGGACCTGGCCCTGGAGTCCGGGGGCTGGTTTATCAAATGTAGCAAAGTGCAGGTTGAGAAAGTCAGAATGGACCTTACTTGCCTTCGACGATGGTAGCAAACTTTTTGTTGCTACGAGGGATCTCAGCCCCACAATATTTCACTTTAAAGAGAAATGGAAACAACTCTTTGATCTCGGGATTCTCGGGGGTGCCACGGGAAGGGGTGGGGGAGGGGAGGGGAGAGGAGCGGTGGGGAAGGTGGGGAAGGTCAGGGCGATCAAAAATAAAAGAACAGCGACCATGGGAGGGAGGTGGGAAGAGGATGGGGACAGGCGGCAGAGAACAAGAGGCGTGTCAGAAAACTGGGGCGTGCGTCTGTGTGTGTGTGTGTGTGTGTGTGTCCGAGTCTCCC